AAGTACGGCCGCGGCCGTGAGGTGCCCCCTGCAGCAGCAGAGACAGCACCAGTATCTCTTGCAGCTCGAGCAGCTACCCCAGCACCTCCAACGCCCGGGTCTGCAGCACTAGTAGCAGCTCCAATGCCCGGGTCCGCAGCACCAGCAGCAGCTCCAACGCCCGGGTCCGCAGTACCAGCAGCAGCTCCAACGCCCGGGTCCGCAGCACCAGCAGCAGCTCCAACGCCCTGGTCTGCAGCACCAGCACCAGCTCCAACGCCCGGGTCCGCAGCACCAGCAGCAGCTCCAACGCTCGGGTCCGTGACACTGGGAGCGCCACTCTTGAGACTGTAGCGCCGTGCGTACCACTCATGAAGACGCTGGGGAGAGGGCAGCTCCCGCCTAGGCGAGGAAGTACGAGCACCAGCTCCAGCAGCACCGCTCCTGAGGCGCAGTACTGTAAGTACCACTCACGCAGCTGGTGTGAGGAGAGAGCTCCTCCAGGCGTAGCACTCCCAGGCTCACCATCCCCAGACTCAGCGCCCCTAGACTCAGCACAAGCAGGCTCCGCACTCCCAGGCTCAACACCCCCAGGGTCAGGACCCCCAGACTCTGCACCCCCAGACTCTGCACCCCCAGGCTCAGCACCCCCAGTCTGAGCAACCGGGGGCTCCGCACGCTCAGGCTCAGCACCCCGAGCAAGACGAGAGTCAACAGCTACCTCGACAGGCTCAACCGGGTCTACCTGGGACAAACCTGAGGGAGCGGCACCCTAAGGGGGGAGGGGGTCTACTGCAGCAGCACCTGGCACGAGGAAGAGAGGCGGGGGAGGGAGCGGGGCAGTGCGGTAGGGGAAGAGGCGAAAGAGGGTACCGACTCGTCAAAGGTGACGTCCTGAGAGGCGAGGACACGGCGCGAGGCGGCGTGGTAAAACTGCCAACCAGACGCGTCCGGGACAAAGCCAACGAAGACACACGGAACAGCACGGGAGGAGAGATTGTCCGCTGACGTATCGTGGACAACAACCTGAGATCCCCAGACCCAAAAATACGACGCATCGTCAACCTCTCCCATCCAACGCAATCTCGGGGAAGTCTCCGGCAAGGAGACACGGGGCCAGAGGTTGAGCTGATGCGCAGCGTATCGGACTGCAAACGGCCACAGTGGGGGGCAGCCGCATGGATCAAGGAGGCACGAGCGACCTCCATGACCAAGCCAATGCGGCGCTCAGCCACCCCATTCTGCTGTGAAGAGGCCGGAAGCGTGAACAACTGGCGGATGTCGTGCTCCGCATAGTAGGCTGCCAAGAGGTCGGAAGAGAACTCACCCCCTCTGTCAGAGTGCAAGCGCAAAACAGGGAAGTCCGAGTGGAAACACTCGCTGATCTGGAGACGAGAAGTGCGGATCCAAGGGATCAAAACATCAGGGACCTCACCCTTGGTGCGCAAAGGGAAGACCGTGGTTTAGCGCGAGTAGTCGTCAAGAACTATCAGGAAGTACCACTCCTGACCCTGACCACAGACGTGGGCAGGGCCCCACACGTCCATGTGGAGCGTCCGGAAGGGAGCAATCGTCGGGGGAAACGAGGAGTGAGGAGCGGCGCGCTGCGGCCCCTTGACACAGGGAAGACAGGGAGGAGCAGGAGAGGGTGGGAGGGGAGGGAGAACCCTGGGAAGACCAGAGACAAGGTACCGTTTGTGCATTGCCCGAAGGCGCTGCACGGACGGGTGACCAAGGCGGTGGTGCCAGAGGACTGTCTCGTGCGCCAGAGAGCGGCACGAGCAGGGGGCAGACAGCTGACCTGAGACAGACGCAGACGCAGCTACCTGAAGGGACTCAGTAGTCAGTGTGTACAGGTCCGACCCCGGCTGCCGTGTGAAGGTAGCCAGGTGACGGCCCATCCAAGCACACGTGCAGTGTGTCACGCGCTCGTAGGTAGGGGTGAACTGGTGGACACCCCTGTCCTGGAGCGCACTACCCGCCACCAAGTTTGTAGAGAACGAGGGGAGGTAGAGACCGGACAGTGTGCCTGACGGGACGGCCGGACAGGGGAGGACAGTGGAGGAGGTCGCAAGGGCTAGACCCCCAAAGGGGTCAGCGAGAGAGACTGCAACGGGCCGAGCAAGCTGCTAAAGAGCCGTGCGGTCACGAAAGAAATAGCGGGAGGCACCTGAGTCTAGTGTAAAGGTGTGCAGTGCCTCAGTCGACTCAGTAATAGGGGACGCAGATGCACCAGTACCTAGAGCAGCAGCCTCACCAGCACCTGGGGTAGCGGACACTGTAGCACCTAGAGCGGTAGCCTCACCATGTCGAATGCCCGGGTCAGGCGGAACACTCAGGTACTGGGCACCCTCTCCACTAATAGACATCACATACATGGCAGAGAGAATAGCATCAAAGTCTAGAGCAAAGATATCAATGATTTTTTTCATCAGATCAGCCCAACGAGGCAGCTCAGTGGCGTCAGGGAACTGAGTACGCCAAGCGTCGTCGAGGCGTGAGAAGCAGCGCTGCGTGGGGTGCGCCCTCCCACACGGCTGACCAGTGCGGTCACCAGTGCGGATGACGTACATGCAGCTAAGGCCACCACCCCCCCCCCCTGCCGAGTGTACCACTCACGGAGTTCCTGGGGCGACGGAGAGTGTTGTAGGCTCTGGCCACCGCCAGTGCCTCCACGACCACCACCGCCGCCACCACCACCTTGACCACCTCCTCCCCTGCCGCCGCCGCGTCCACCGCCGCCCCCACCACCGCCCCCGCCCCTGCCACCGCCCCCGCCGTTGCCACCACCACCCCAACCGCTGCCACTAGCTCCACCAGCCCCGCCACCACCCCCACTGCCACCACCACCCCCTCCACCGCCTCCCCCGCCGTCACCTCCCCCGCCCTTGCCCCCTTTGCCCTTGCCGCTGCGGCGCCCGCTCGAAGCAGACGCAGTACCGACCTTCTCAGCACCAAGGAGGTCGACAGCAGAAGCAGAGGCGACAGAGGGAAGAAGAGGGGAAGGGGAACACCCCTCGAAGAAAGGGGTGCGGGGGTCGCCACGAGAGGCACCTACAGCGACTATGCTAGCCTCACCTGCAAGTAGTTCCTTCTCGAGGAGGGCAATGGTGAGCTCAGTGGGGCAGCGAGCTTGGAAGTGGTCCCTGAGCACGCAGAGTGTCAGGGAGGCGGATGACTAGGTGGTAGAGAGTGAGCCAGAGCGGGGGGGGGTTGGTGGCAAGACACTCGTCGGACATGGCGGCACGAAAGCGGGCCTCACTAGTACGGAGGTGCGTGATGAGGTCAGCGTCTGTGTGGAACGAGGCCAGGTCAGGAAACAAGTAGGGGAGTGAGAGACGGCCTAGCGCAGCAAAGGCGGGTGAGGAGTAGCGGGCAACAACAGCGGTGTACAGTGCCTGTGCAGTCTTGTGCTGTCCAAAGTGCTCGCGCTCGTCTATCGGCGAGGAGTTGCGAATAGCAAAGCGGGCGTGGGCGTCACGAGTCTGCCACTGTGAGCGGGCAGTGCTGTCAGCAGTAGCAGTAGGAGCAGTAGCATGACCTAGGGCGTGATCGTACAGTGAGATGTTCTCCTTGGCAGTGAGCTGTAGGAAGAGGTGTAGATCATCTAGCCAGGTATCGAACTTCACTGGGCGGCCCTCAGCATCGAAAGCTAGCACAGAAGGGCTAGCCATAGCAGCAGTAATAGCAGTAGTAGCAGTAGTAGCAGTAGTAGCAGTAGTAGCACCCTAAAATCAGTAGGCAGCGAGTCAGGAAGGGCGGCTCGGTCCAGGACGGGCGGCGCGGCTCGGTTCAGGTAGGGTGGCTCGGCTCGGTTCAGGTGGCGCGGCTCGGTTCGGGCTGGGCGGCTCGGCTCGGGCGGCTCGGTTCGGGTCGGGCAGCTCGGTTTGGTCTGGGCTGCTCGTTCTGGCAGGGCCGTTGGCGTCGCGACGGGGTGCTAAGGGGCGGGTGCACGGGTCGACGGGGCCAGCTGGGAGGCCGCTAAGGGGTGGCGCTTGGGGTCGACGGGGCCAGCGGGGCCACTAAAGGGGCGGGCGCACGGGTCGACGGGGCTAGCGGTGCCGCTAAGGGGCGGGCGCACGTGGTCGACGGGGCCAGCTGGGGCCGCTAAGGGGCGGGCGCACGGGGTCGAGTGGGCCAGCGGGGCCGCTAAGGGGGCGGGCGCACGGGTGTACGGGGCCAGCGGGGCCGCTAAGGGGCGGGCGTACGGGTCGACGGGGCCAGCGGGGCCGCTAAGGGGGGCGGGCGCACGGCTTTACGAGGCCAGCGGGGCCGCTAAGGGGCTGGCGCACGGATCGACGGGGCCAGAGGGGCCGCTAAGGGGCGGCGCGTGAGGTCGACGGGGCCAGCTAAGGGGCGGTACGAGGGGCCGACGGGGCCTCTAAGCGAGGTCGACGGGGCCAACGGGGCCTCTAAGGGGCGGCGCACGAGGGCGCACTGGGAGCAAGGCGCACGAGGGCGCTAGAGAGGACGGCGCACGAGGGCGCTCCGAGCGGAAACGGTGGGCCCTTACGAACGGTCCTAGGTTCCTAGCCTAGGCTCGTAATACCATGTTAGAATAAGAGAGAAGTGATTGCACTATGAGAGTTGGAGTGCAGATAACAAACCCTAACTTTGTGTACCCCCTAAAGGCCAACCCACTATAGCCTACACAATAAAAACACATATAATGTTTGACACAGGTGCCTCCCCTGCCCCTGCTGCTGATGCTGACGCCACTGTTCGCTCACAGTGGGCCACACGTAATGCTGCTGCTCGACTTGCTGTGCGCCGCCACTTACCGACCACTAAGCGTGCGCACTTTAGCCAGTACAACAGTGCTCAGACCTTGTACGACGCTGTAGTTGCACGCTACTCTTCCCCTGCCACTACTGCACTGAGCCGCCTCATGCTACCGTACCTCTTCCCTGACCTTGGTGCCTTTCTCACTGTCGCTGACCTCATTACGCACCTCCGCACTAGTGACACTCGCTACCGCGCTACGCTTCCTGCTGAGTTCTGCGCCAAGAACCACCCCCCCCATGTACATCACCCTCTACTACATAGTCACCCGGCTCCCAGACTCTCTTCGAGTAGTCAAGGACCACTTCCTCTCTGTTTGCCCCACCACTCTCACCGTTGACCTCCTCGAAAAGGCCCTCCTAGCGATAGAGAAGAGCATAGTCGCTGTAGGAGCCTCTCGTGGTGACCCTCGCACCCCCGTCTTTGAGGGGTGTTCTCCCTCCCCCCTCTTGCCCTCTGTTACCTCTGCTACTGCGGCCGACCTCGTTGGTTTCAAGTCGGTCGGCGCTGCGTCTGCCCCGAGCGGGAGACGCCGCACCCGCAAGGGCAAGGGGGGCAAGGGCGCTGGAGGGCCTGGAGGGGGCGGTGGAGGTGGTGGTGGAGGCAGTGGAGGGAGTGGGGGTGGTGATGGGAGTGGTGCCGGGGGTGGCGGCGGCGGCGGCAGCAGTGGAGGCGGTGGAGGCGGTGGAGGTGGCGAAGGGAGCGGAGGTGGCGGAGGCAGCGGTGGTGGAGCGGGTCGCGACTATGCGCAGAGGAGTGGCGCCCGTGGTGGTCAGCGCCAGCAGCAGCAGTGGAGTGGTGTGACCCTGTCCCCTCAGCAGCTTCGTTAATGGTACACTGCGCGTCAGCGCGGTGGGGGTTTTGGTCCCTGCGCTTACGTCCTCCGTACCGGCGACCGCGCTGGTGAGCAGTGCGGAGGCCTACACTCCACTCAGCGCTGCTTTGGTCGCCTGACGGACGCGTGGCGTTGCCAGTTCCCTGAGGCGCCAGAGATCCCTCGCTGGGGAGATCTGACTAAGGCCGGGGTTGCTATCTTTGATCTTGACATTGATGCTATTCTTGCTACTATGTATGCTGTTGATACTAGTAATGAGAGTGCTTGTTACCTGTGTGTACCGCCTAACCCAGGCATTGAGGCCGCTGCTCTGGGTGCTGGTGAGGCTGCTGCTCTAGGTGCTAGTGCGTCTGCTGCCCCAGGTGCCAATGCGTCCGCTGCCCCAGGTGCTGGTGAGTCTGCTCTCTCAGGTACTACGTCGGCTCAGGCCTTCCACACCTTCACCCTGGACTCGGGTGCGTCCCGCTCCTTCTTTCGAGACCGCACCACTCTTACGCCGCTCAGTCGGCCGGTTGCAGTCTCCCTTGCAGACCCCTCTTGGGGTCCCGTCCTTGCTAGCTTCTCCACTGTCCTACCGTGCCCGGAAGCCCCCTCTAGCACCCTGTCTGATCTCTACCTCCCCTCGTTCTCTACGAACTTGGCAAGTGGAGCGGACCTACAGGATAGGGGGGTTGACCAGTTCACTCCTGCGAGTCAGCGAGTGACCCACTGCACGTGTGCTCGGACATGCCAACACTTGGCCACGTTCACCCGTCAGCCAGGGTCAAGCATGTACACCCTTACTTCGGAGTCTCCTTCTACTGCTAAGTCTGCCCAGGTAGCTGCGTCGAGTCAGGTGTTTGCTGCAGCATCCAAGTCCAGTCCTGAGTCTGCTCCCTGCTCGTGTCGTCTCCTGTCCCACCAGACTCTCCTTTGGCACCAACGCCTTGGTCACCACTCCTTGCTTCGTCTCCGAGGCATGGCCTCCCGTGTCCTTGTCTCTGGTCTCCCTCGGTCTCTCCCTCCCCTTCTTCCGGGGCCTGGCCCTACCTGCGTCCCCAGCGTCGAGGGGCAACAGCGCACTCCCCTCACTCCTCCGAGTTTCCACCAACACAGGCTCCGCTGCAGACTCTCCACATGGACGTGTGGGGCCCAGCTCGCGTCAGTGGGCAAGGGCGAGAGCCGTACTTTCTGCTGGTGGTTGACGACTACTCGCGGTACACCGCAGTCTTCCCCTTGCGCAGCCAGGGTGATGTCACTGAGGTGATGATCGACTAGATCCGCGTAGCTCGTCTCCTGCTCAGAGAGAGTTTCGGCTCGGAATTTCCTGTTTTGCCTCTGCACTCAGACAGAGGCGGGGAGTTTTCCTCTGCCCGTCTGGGAGCCTTCTGTTGTGCACAGGGCATCTGCCAGACCTTTACGCTTCCGGCCTCTCGGGTCTGGGGATCTCGGTCGTTTGTCTGCGACTTGTTTGCGGACAAGCTGTCCCCCCCTGCTGTTCCCTGCGTCTTCCTTGGCTTCACCCCTGACGCGCCTGGGCGGTAGTTTTACCACCCCACCTCGCGCCGTAATCTGTCCTCCCAGGACGTCACCTTTGACGAGTCGGTGCCTTATTACCGTCTCTTCCCCTACCGCTCTGCGCCCCTCCCCCCGCCGCCGGTCTTCCTTGCGCCAGGTTCTCCCCAGGTAGACCCCCTCCCCCCTCAGGGTCCTGCCCTGTTAGGTGTGTCTCAGGTAGACGCAATCGAGCCTGTCGCGGTAGCTGCTAGAGGTGCTGAGCCTGCGGGTGCCGGGTCTGGGGGTGCTGAGTCTGGGGGTGCTGAGACTGGGGGTGCTGAGCCTAGGGGTGCTGAGCCTGGAGGTGCTGAGCCTGGAGGTGCTGAGCCTGGGGGTGCGGAGCGTGGGGGTGCTGGGTCTGCTCGTGTGCCGCCGGCAGTGCTTCGTCAAGGCGGGAGCCGCTCTCTCAACAGGAGCTGCGCGAGTGGTTTGCCCGCCGCTGGAGACGTGCTGATGAGTGTGGGGGTGCTGCTGGAGCTACTGGAGTTGGTCTTGCTGGAGCTGCTGTCGGTGCTGGTGCTGCTTGAGGTGGAGCTGCTGGGGGTGTTGGCGCTGGTGTTTCTACTGGTGCTGGTGCGTCTGAGGGTGCTGCTGAGGCTGCTGGAGCTGACGGTCCTACTGGAGTTGGTGCTGCTGGAGCTGGAGCTGCTGGGGGTGCTGGCATTGGTGGTGCTGCTTGCGCTGGTGCTTCTGAGGGTGCTGGAGTTGGCGCTGTTGGAGCTGGAGGTGCTGCTGGCGCTGGTGCTGCCGTTTGGGGCACTGGTGCCGTCCTTGCTGGTTCTGGAGGCACTGAGCGACCGAGGCCGTACTTCGTTCAGCTCCTGGAGCAGGTTCTTGGTCTCCCGCCCTCTCCCGGTCCTGCTCCTCCCTTAGAGTGTCCACACCCTGTCCACTCGTAGACACAGTTACAGCATGCCTCCCCGCTACATGCTCCTTCTCCCTACACTGGTCCTATTGGAGGTCTTGCTGAGCGTCGTGAGCCTGCGTCTCATCCTGCGTCGCCTGTTCGTGCTGCTCGCACTAGTCGTCGTGCTGCACGTCCGCGTCCTCCTGCGGTCCCCGGCACACACCAGATGGCACTGCGTCCTTCCACTGCTCCTCTGCGTGTCCCGTTGCCGTCTCCTCCGGAGTCCTCTCTTCTTTCTCTTGCTGACCCGGAGTCTGACTCCCTTCGTGCAGCTTGTCCTTCGGTCACGCGCCTTCTTGCTACTGTTGTCACTGACCCTTCCTTTGAGTCCACTGCTGCGTCTGCTCTAGTTGCTGAGCTTGTCGACTTCGCTGCTCGCTGTCGTCTAGACTACGCTGCGAGTCTCGTTGGTGAGTCTGAGTCTGTCTATCCTCCGTCCGTCGGGGGTGAGTGTGCTCTTAGCACGGACGTCCTTGAGGACAAGCAGGAGGAGTTCCATTGCTTTGCTGCTGCTTTGCCCCATCTCGTGTCCACGCTGATTGCCCCTAAGGGAGACCCGGATGCACCAGACATCCCGACTCCTCGATCGTACACTGAGGTGATCCAGGGTCCCTCCTCCTCTCAGATGCAGTCGGCCATGGACGCAGAGATGGCTTCCTGGAAGTCCACAGGCACCTACGTCGACGAGGTTCCCCCACCTGGGGCGAACATCGTCAGTGGCATGTGGATTTTCAGGGTGAAGCGGCCGCCGGGTTCTCCGCCTGTCTTCAAGGCGCGTTACGTGGCTCGAGGGTTCAGTCAGCGGCAGGGAGTTGACTACTTTCAGACCTTCTCTCCCACCCCGAAGATGACCACTCTTCGGGTGCTGCTGCGCATAGCCGCTCAGCGCGACTACAAGCTTTACTCTCTTGACTTCAACACAGCTATCCTGTAGGGTAGCCTGCACGAGAAGATCTGGCTGCGCCGCCCTCCTGGCTTCACTGGGTCGTTTCCTCCTAGTACCCAGTGGAGTCTCTGGCGGCCAGTCTTCGGTCTCCGCCAGGCGCCCCGTGAGTGGGACGACACACTGAGGACTACACTTGCGGCTCTTGGGTTTGCTCCTTCTACAGCCGACCCATCGCTGTTTGTGCGCACCAACACCTCTCTACCGCCGTTCTACATCCTCGTGTACGTTGACGGCTTGGTCTTTGTCACTGCTGACACTGCTGGACTCCCCCACGTGAAGTCCAAGCTGCAGAAGAGACACACGTGCACAGACCTAGGTGAATTGCGCAGCTATTCTGGCTTGCCGATCACCCGGGACACAGCACAGCGCACCATTACCCTAACTCAGTCACACATGGTGCAGCAGGTCCTTCAGCGCTTCGGCTTCACGTACTCTTCGCCTCAGGCCACTCCTTTGTCTACTCGCCACTCGCTCTCAGCTCTGCCTTCGGATGAGTCTGTAGAGTCAAGTGGCCCGTACCCAGAGCTTGTTGGCTGCCTCATGTACCTGATGACCTGCACACGACCTGACCTTGCATACCCTCTTAGCATCCTGGCACGTTAAGTTGCTCCTGATAGACACAGACTAGAGCACATAGCTGCAGCGAAGAGGGTGTTGCGCTACGTGTGCAGTACGTCGGGCATGGGGCTAGTGCTTGGAGGGCGACGTCGAGTGGTCCTCACAGGTCATGCAGACGCTTCTTGGGCTGACGACCAGGCCCTGCAGCGGTCGTCACAGGGTTACACCTTCAGCCTTGGCTTCGGCTCTGTTTCGTGGCGGTCTACCCACTCATCTTCTATTCTCAGCTCCAGCTGTGAGGCTGAGATCTACGCGGGGGCCATGGCTGCACAGGAGCTACGCTGGCTCACCTACCTGCTGACTTACCTAGGAGAGCTGCCTCGTTCTCCTCCAGTTCTGTACGTAGACAATAAAGCCATGCTGGCCTTGTGTTAGGAGCACAGACAGGAGCAAAGAACGAAGCATATTGCTCTCCGCTACTTCGTGGCTTGTGAGGTGTAGCAGCGTGGTCAGCTCCGCCTCACCTACGTGGCCTCTGAGGCCAACACTGCTGATATATTCACCAAGGCCCTTCCGCCTTGTGATCATCAGCGCTTCTGTACTTTGCTAGGTCTTGTGCCTACCTGGCCTCCCTTGCTCACTTCTTGATCTTGTTTCTACTGTCCTCTTTCTATACCTGCACTTGCTTATTAACCTGTATACATATGATCTTGCATGTGAACTCGCCTTATGGCCTTACTCTTGTGCTCGGACTGTGTGGTGACTTTGTGATCCACCCCGAGCTTGCTTTGCTTTGCTTGACTGGTCTTGTGACCGCTTCTTCCCCCCCACTTTGCCTATGGGGGTGTGTCATAACATTATAGCTTATACATTTGTGTAGGCTGTAGTGGGGTAGCCCATAAGGGGTACAACCCAATTAGGGTTAGTACTTGTACCCAACTGTTTCATAGTTCATTCATCCATTCTCATTTCTCGTCAATTATCTGACCTGTATTGGGGTGCTCTATAGTGAGTACATTCCTGTTTGGGTTTGCTATATGTATCCCAACTACTTGCTAGTGCAACCCCTATCTTCCTCAATCTTCACATGCCATTAGAGCATCTATGTTGGTGCAACCCTACGGTTTGCACTCGGCTTGTTGTCCGTGTGCGTGCATGTGTATGTATGGAATGGTATGAGGGCATAGGATAATATATATTTCCTGCTTATAATTGTGTGTAAATTTTGAGTCATGATGTTGAGTGTGAGTCAGTAGCGAGTTATCGCTAGACGCGTGTTACGCGGTCGTTTGTGTTTCGCACGCGGTTTCTTTTTTGTCGTGCGCGGTTTCTATTTTGTCATGTGTCGAACGTTTGGCGTGTCGCAGGTGTGTGCAGAATACCCATCAAGAATTCAAGGATGAGTTTGTGATGAAGAACCCGAGCCTTAGTGTCAAGCCTCAAGTGATTTCGAAGCTCGCCAAAAGGGTGCACCTCAAGATATTGAAGATAGTTACATTACTTTGTGTAGTGTAACTTTTCACTTGGTGTAGGCCCTAGTGAAGGGTAGTTTTGAGACCCTTCGTGGTTGCAGACAGTGTGGCACTTCTCCACATCACTGTACCTCGGCTCTTGGGGTTTGTAGAAGCTGGGAGTCATTCCCAACTCGTAACTCTTCCTAACTCTTCCTATCTTGTGTTCTAAGACCATGTTGCTGCCATAGTGCCGTTCGTTCAAACCAACGCTGTGTCGTCACTTATTAATGAAAACATGCGATCTAAATTTCTTATTGGAGGCGACGTTACGGCGCTCCCGATACAAGTTGAATGAAGTCATTTGGAGCTGTGAGCAGATCGCTATGAACGTTTGAAGCACCGCCACGGCCTCCACGGCCTCGTCCTCTCCCTCCTCCTGCTCCTCTACCCTCTTGGCCTTGAGCAGGGGTCCAACCATCAGGGAGTTTGTAGCAGTCGCGCCACATGTGTCCGCTCTTGTGGCAATAGTGACACTCGCCGTCGAATCAGCCGCGACCGCGTCCATAGCTCTTGTCGTCGCTGCCGTAACCGCCACTCCCGCGGCATCCGCCAAAGTTGCTGCCACCAAACCTTCCTCCCCCTCGTCCTCTACCTCTTCCTCGACCATATCCACGGCCGATGCTCGCTGCCCCAGCGCCATCCGCACTCGCCAACTCACGGCGGCGGAAATCCTCATGAAGGATAGCTCGCTTCACGTCTTCAAGCGAGAGGCGGGGCAAGTCGCGATTAAGGTTGATGATGAGCGAGGACCATGACTCGGGGAGTAGGGCCAGCAACTTGGTCTTGTTTTGGAGCT